TTGATCCTGAGCTTCTCCGGGACATGAGCGTTGAGCATCACTGCATCAGCGCCCAAGCTGTTTCCAGTGACATAAATCTTGCTAAAATGGCCGACATCTGTCTTTAATAAAAAGGGCACCCATTGGTTTTGCTGGAAAGAAGGCAGGTTGTAATCCAGAGCTTGGAGGAAAGGAAAAGCGAGCACGTGGGCCCGGACCTGGGGCAGGTCCTCTCTGAGCACGAGTTGTTGAGAAGCAGCCAGTACGTAGGAACCTCCACAGCTGTCGCCACCCAACACGATCCGCTGAGGGTCCACGCCGAAGTCCCCCGCGTGCTTCAAAAAGTATGATATGGCCACATAGCAGCTCTGCTGTTGAGCTGGGTAGGGGTGCTCCGGTGCCAAGGGATACCTAAACCAACAGTGAGGAAAAAGGAAATCTTTCAAATTAATTTGGCCTTCCTGTTGCTAGGATTATTACCGTGTTTCCCCGAAAATAAGACCCTGACGTGTATTTTTTTTACCACCAAAAAAAGGCAACAGGTCTTATTTTGGGGGGACGTCCTCCTCTGACGAACCTCACTTGGGCACATTGCCCCCGGCCTCTTTTTCACTGTCGGAGGTCTTCAGGAATTTTTCTGCGACCGACAAGGCTTTCCTGAAGGCCTCTGCAGCCGGTAACACAGTTCTGGATCGATCCGGAGCTTTGTTATTATCTCTAGAGGCCTTCAGAAAAGTCTTGCCAGCCTTGCCGGCTGCAGAAGAAATGGGTCAGCGAGGCAGGTGTCGGGGTGTGAGAGCCCTGGCTATCGTCCAAAGGTAAGTATTTGGGCAGCTCCATCCCCCCTCCCACCCTAGCTTAATTTTTATCCATGCTGGAGTGGGCGGAGTCATAATCTGCTTATTTCGGGTGCGTGTGTAAAAATCACGCTAGGGCTTACTTTCAGGGTAAGTTGTATTATTATTATTATCCATTTAATCATTAAACATGAAACTCAGTCAACTGAACATTTAAAATTGTATCACAAATGTTGTTGACTGGCACTGATGGTTGACACAGGTTATTTCCAGAATAATAGTAACAGTAAGAATAGCAACCTTTATTGTCATTTCATGTATACAACAAATTTGATTTAGCCTCTATTGGTCCAATCCATAACAAAAATACAAGACAACATGAATAGTATAGAGAATAGTTCTTGTCCAAGTAATTGGGGGCCAGGGAAATGTTTTAATTAATCTCTCAGTCCCTTCCTTTAACTTTCCTGCTCTTAGCCATTGCCAGATCTTATTATTATTATTATTATTTTAACGTATTCATGTTTAATGAATAGAAGTTGTTGTTGTAGGTCTTGTTATTATTTGTTATTATTTTTTAACATATTCATGTTTAATGAATAGAAGTTCTTGTTGTTATTATTATTATTATTATTATTATATCTTTGCTGAGATTCACAGCCTTTGGGGCTGGTTGGTAGCTCAACAGCTCGAGTCCCAACCAAGGACCTAGGAACTGTTCAGGTAGCGTCCAAGGATATAAGCTGTTCCAAGTAGGGTGGGTGTTTTTGTAGAATCAGGGTATTCAAGTCTGATAAATTCAGAATTTCCAAATAGCAAGGTAGCCCTTTCAGTATTTCTCCAAGGGCTACAATTACAATTGGGATCACACACTATTTCTTTTTCCAAAGTCACTCAACTTCAATTTGTAAGTCCCGATACTTTGTGACTTTTTCTTGCTGCGTGTCCACAATTCGTGCATCATCAGGTATTGCAATGTCAATGAACCAACCCTTTTTCTTTTCAACGATTGTTATGTCAGGTGTGTTGTGGGTCAAGTGCCTGTCCATCTGAATTCTGAAATCCCACAAGATCTTGACTTTTTCATTCTCCAGAACCTTCTCAACCTGATGTTCCCAGTAGTTGTTACTATACTCAAATCCAACCTTTTGGCACAGTTTCCAGTGAACGATTTTAGCAACTCTGTTATTATTATTATTATTATTATTAGCAGTAGTAGTAGTAGTAATAGTAGTAGTAATCATCGCAGTAGTATTGTAAGTATTGTTAGTATTGTAAGTATTGTTATTAGTATTAGTAGTATTGTTAATAGTATTATTAGTAGTAGTAGTATTAGCATTAATAATAATAGCTGATATAGCACTTTTATTTTGAATTTCCCCTGTTGCCAAATGAACCTGGGCTCTCTTACCCGATAGCTACCACCACGGTGGCACTTTCCTGGGCGAAGAATCGACAAAGCCTTTCGTGGCTTTCTGAAATATTTTTTTAAAAAAATTATTTAAAAAATCCAAATACATCCATTTTTCCCCATTTAGCCCAAACATTTCTCTGTCCCCTTTATCGATCAAGGTAATAATAAAAAAAAAACCAACTGTTTATTAAGAGTTTATTATGAGCAGAGATCGGGGGAAAAAAACCCAAAACACTCAATTAAATATCCAGTATAAAAGTCTAGAAGTGAAATAATAAATAGCAGATAAAATCTATATTAAAAAAAATCACCATTTTTCTTTCGGTGTCACGTGGCTGAATGAATATACTATCATATCGATCCTTATGCCCCATTTGTCATTAAATACTAAAAATGCAAAAGAGTATATCGATTGATCAATTACAGGTAATTTCTGAATTTTCTGCGGCTGAAGCAAGACATTGGTTAAGTGAGGTTTTCCTCCATTTTATGACCTTTCCTGCCTTGGTTGTTAAGCGAAACAATTCAGTCCCCTGGTTGTTGAGCGAATCCAACTCTCCCCCCCCCCCCCCCCCCCCCCCCCCCCCCCCCCTTGGGCCCCCCCCCCCCCCCCCCCCCCCCCCCCCCGACCATTGACTTAGGCTGGTCAGGTCACACACACACACACACACACACACACTGGGACGCCACGGCCATCATAAGTACGAGTCACACTGCCAAGGGTTTGCATTTTGACCCTGGAAAGAGTCGTCAGTGTGAAACACGGTCCCAAGTCCCTGTGAGGACCCAAAGGCGTGTGGCCCAAAGGCAACACAGTCAGATAATCAATAAGAGTCTCTGTATTAGCTCCAACTTGGCCCCCAACGTCCTGGTTACCTTCTGGGCTTGAGAAAAACTCTCCCAGGGACAGCCATTGGCTGCAGAGAATCAAGTCCAAAACGTGGTCAACACAAACTGTAACTTAAAGTCCAATCAAGGCAAGAGGAGATCATTAGTCTGGCAGGGCAGGAGCAAGAATTCCAGACATGAAGGCACAGCAATAACTCAACATGATTGTGAAGATACCAGAAACATAGATAACAAAAGTCAACACAAAATAACCTCAAGTTTGCTCCCAGCAGACGCAGCTCTCATCTTGCATCTCTTTTCCCAGGTGTGGCTAATGAAGGGAATCGGGGCCCCTTCCTCCCCCATAAGCCATGCAACCCACGTTGCTCCCTTCTTTGTTCCTCCCTGCATGCCCTAGGATGAAGACAGGGTGGGCCTGGGTGTGCCTATAAACCACCTCTCCCTTTTTCTCCCTCTCCTCTGCTCTGCTCAGCCGGACTTTGCCCTTCTCCAATTTCCTCCACAGCCAAAGGGGCCACACTCCCACTCCCTGTCAGTTGTTTGGCTTCCTGCTTGGATTCAGACTCCAATAGGGACACGATAGTCATCACCACCCCCTTTTTTTTGGTGCTTCCTGGGGATGTCGTAAGTGGGAAGAACGGGCCCCCTTTTGTGACTTTGAACGGTCACTAAGTGAGCCATTGTAAGCTGAGGAGCATCCATGTTTGGAGAACTTACTGAAGCCTCCAAAAAAGCCCCCTCCTCCGTGAATCCACACAAGTCCCCTCCTCTTCTCAGGACTTGGAGTTTTGGGCTGGTAGATCCTCACCGGCACGGTGTCAAAAAGAGTTTCCTTGATGCTCAAGTCACAGGGCCCCGGTGGAAATACCCCGCTGACCAGGAACCTCCGTACCGCATATTCATTGCAGATGCCCAGTTTTTCCAGGATCGGAGACTGTTCAGTGCAAAAGAAATGAAGAAGAAACCACATGGAAAGATTCCGATAAATGCTAATCAAAAGCGAG